AGCCTTTGCAACGGCGAAACTCGAAACGGATTCGAAATGATAACGGAACTGAAAATAATAAGGAAGCCACAAGTAATTTCGATGCTGTACAAATTTGAATTAAAACTGATACGTTTCTAGTTTCAGTTTGGTCTAGATTACATTTACATTGTGCAATGCTATTATTCTAGATATGTACAAAACGATGCATGGGAAATATTTCCCATAATAATTTAATGATATTCATATTTCGCGTAGGTGCATGTATTCTGGCATGTTTAACGTGCACTTTTTTTTTTTTTTTTTAAAGTATGTACGTTGCGAATGCGTAAAGTCTGCTTATCGAGGGCGCAATAATGCTCGAGAGAGCTGAATTCTGGTCATAGGTACGGGTTTTTCTATAAAATTGTGAGTAACAGGAACATTTTTATTCTATTTAGTATTCTTGCAAATTATTTTAGATGCAATACAAACACATTCAGTTATCTTTGACGGTTCTTATGATGCTAAGATTCAAACGAATTTCTATATCCACTACTGCACGTACTAACTTCTTCCAAAGAGTAGCATCCCTTCATCAGAAGGGAGATTGCCAAATAAATCCATAGTAATATTATAAATACGAAAGTAACTCTGCCTGTTACCTTTTCACGCCTAAACCACAGAACAGATTTCGATAAGATTAAGCAAAAAGATAGATTGCATCCTGAGGAAGGACATAGGCTACATTTTATTTTAATAAAAATACGGTTTCGGTTCAAAATTTCAATATTTATAAACAAAGCATCAGAAATATCGATTGAAACATCCGTGTTACGGAAAACAAAAGACACTCACTGACTGATTCATGTGGTTGAATTGTTAATCGAACGCAAACGACATAAAATAAACAGTATCCCACGCGGTATAAAAATTGCAACTAACAATTGATGAGTGTCAAGGTTACCTCAAGCACAACCCTTAATGTCATCTGCGACGCTATAAACATTCCCAGCGTCCTGATCGCGGTCTGAAAGGGTTCCTCGCGCGGTTGTCCCCCCGAAAAATGTCGAGCCGCCGAAAAAAGCACGATGGGTTTGGCGCACGCGAGGCCACTCCACCCCTGGCAGGTGGCTGTCGGGTTAGGACGGGTCAGAGGGCAGGGGACGGATGGGGACGAGTCGTAGCTTCCTCTCTTCTCGTAGGTTTCATGGTTTGTAAATATTACCTGCCACGATACGTCTGCCGAGTTTATGCTTGGCTTGGTTGCCGCGTAACCGAGAGCCGTGTGATACGGGGTGGGTAGTGAGGCTGGAAAAGGGCGGAAGGAGAGAAAGAGAGGGTGGGGAAGCAGAGGCGAACTCACCGAGTTTTTACCCCATTCTGGAGTCTGAGTGCCTCGCTCCGCTGACTCTCGAAACGGGTTGCAGAGCCGGGCCCTACACACCATCACATTTTCCTTTACCCGTGCCTGCAACCAACCCTCTTCTCTCTCTCTCTCTCTCTCTCTCTCTCTCTCTCTCTCTCTCTCTCT